ACACCCTCTTTCTTTTAAGAACCGGTTCTTAAAGTTCTACTTTAAGAACCACTTCTTAACTTTTACTTAACTTTTATTAATTTTATATTTAAACACACCCACTATCTCCTCTCTTTACTCAAATTTTATTAATTTTATATTTCAATACACCCCACAAAAACATTCTCTTTCTTACTTTTACTCAAATTTTAATAATTTTATATTTTAAGAACCCTCTTAAAATGACCAATGGACATGCTCTAAGCACGTCGCTTTTGTCAAGCCAATTATTATATAGCTTGATTCCTTTTATCACAAGCCAATGGGACTAAGTCTTTAGGTCTTTGATTCCTTGTAGCAGAAGTCAATAGAAACTTATAATCTTTTAGTCCTTGCACACAACCTAAAAAATGGGATATATCCTAAACAACAGAATTTGAATGACATTTTACCACTAATTTCTGATTAAAAAAAATAAATATTTAAATACAATTTGGATATAATGCATACATATAAAAACTATAATATTGGGTGAAGAGGTCAAGGAGCGTTATAAAAATATTTAAACACCACTTGTTGATATAATTATATTGATAACAAAACTGTTGATGCTTACACTAACGAGAAACATACATTGTTGAAAATAATACTAGAATTATTTTTTTTTAAAGAAAATTAATATTAGAGTTTGCTTAATCCATTAAGGTTTTATATATGACAAATCCATTAAGGTTTATATATGACAACTACAGAAAAACAGAAAGCATGATGATGCTGAGTAATAATTGCGACATATGAAGGGGTACCATTCCAATTAAACATACATTTTTTTCCCTTATCAAGTCACTTCAATAATTTACCTCATAAAATTACACACATTTTTATTATGTACATAAAAATTCACAAACATTCATAACAAATGAATGAAAACATTCTTTAGCATATGAACGGATCATTCACAAAACGGTCATTATAATATAATCCTGGTCTCTGAGTAAACCCATCTTTCTTCAGAATCTCTCTTGCCTTCAAAACCATCTCTTTGTTTGTGATCTTATCTTCCTTAATCTCCGACAAAACCATCTGAATCGCGTTACTAAACGCTCCATAAGCTTCTCCACTCTTGTTCACATCCGCAGATGTCTCATCAGTTTGACATCCACTCAACAAAATCCCTCTGTCCGGAATCAGTCCTTTGCTTGTTCCTCCTCCGTAGATCTCACGATCACTCTTGACTTGTGTATGCATCGCGGGTTTCGTGTAGTCTTCATCATTCAGCTTCTCTTCTATACACTCTTGAACACTTTCTTCGATTTTACTTTGATCATTTCTCTTCTTTAGATTGGTGAGAATCACTTTCATGAACTTCTTTACCTTTGGACTCGAATCTTCACCAAATACATCAAAAAGGGTCGGTCTAATTTTCCCAATCTCGATATTTTCTTTACCAGTTTTTTGTTTAAGAAGAGTGACGAACGTCTCCAATGGTAGATACCTTGATTTGACAACCTCATCTCTCTCCCCTTCCTCGACCATTTCTCTACTCTCGATCTCTCGCAGTTCTTCTCGAGAACTTCCAATTCCGAAAACGGCAAGAAATTTAACCAAAACGCTATGCAAACAGTTTCCCATATTGAATTCCAAAGAAAAAACTTTCTTTTCTTGAATTAGCTTCTTCGTAGTGCTCTCTCCGATCTGCTCCTTGGCTTCATCGATGAGTCCTCCGCTATGACAAGAGTCTGATATGATCGTTATCTTACATCCTTCTGGAACACGTTCCACTAATTCCCTAAAATCATCATCTGCATTGCAACACACAAAACGTTGTCCATATCAACATCAATCAGAAACAGAGTGCTCTGTTTCTAATCAGATTACTCTGTTTTTCCTACAGAAACAAAAGGACTGTTTTGTTTTCCTTCTCTGTCTAATCAAGAATCATCTGATAAAACACTTAAACTCGAATCCGAAAAGAGAAAGTTCCAGTTTTTGATCGCTTAAAACTCGAATCCGAAAAGAGAAAGTTCCAGTTTTAGATTGCTTACCAGGAATTGGATTCATGTCACAAGGAACAATACACTCATCAAAACCAGTATCATCATCTTCTCCTGTTTCTGGTGGAACCCTTGTACCATGTCCACTATAATGCACGAATAAAACATCACCGGGTTTCGCTGGCTTTACGAGTTCCGACAACGCTTGATGGATGTTTTTACCCGTCGGTTGAGTGTAAGATTTATCGGTGTCGATCAGCACCGTGATGTCTTCTTCGGCGAAACCGAATCGGTCAACGAGACACTTGTGCATCCGATGAACATCGTTGACGCAGCCTTTTAGCTCCACTTTGGTTCCTGGATAGTTAATCCCGATCAACACAGCTTTCTTCGCCATTGTTGCAACCTTGGAAAGTTCCTTTGGCCGGAGAAAGCTTTTGATAAAAGATAATATATAATTGTTAAAAAGCAACTAACCATTATTGATTTGTTGTCAGTGGGACTTTACATTAACAAATTGTCAAATTAACAAAGCCTTTTTCGTTGGACTGTTGATTAATTTTAAAAATAAAAGAGATTTATTGTTCGCCGTCTAAGGGGATCGAACCCTTGACCACGGGATTAAAAGTCACGCGCTCTACCACTGAGCTAAGACGGCTTGATGACAATGTAATCGTAATTAATTAATTATTGTTAATTTTATATTATCTTGCATTATAGTGATGTGAATACACACGTGGCACGCCATGAGTGGATAAACCCAACAATATGCAGAGACGCCACGCAGATATGGCTAAATTATCTTTTGTGAGTATTATTAGATATAAAATTATTAAAACACACTTTCTCTCTTCTTTTTATTCAACTTTATACCTTTTCTTTCATCTTTTTATTCAACTTTTATTAATTTTATATTTAAACACACCCCAACTAAAGTTTAAACTCTCTCCAAAAGTATCAACCCATTGATACAAAGACACTCTCTCTTCAAAAGTATCAACTCATCTCCTCTTTTTACTCAAATTTTATTAATTTTATATTTCAATATACTCCATTATTTCAACCAAAAACACTCTATTTCTTCCTTTTACTCAAATTTTAATAATTTTATATCTAATGATACCCACCAAAGATCATCAATAATGATGCTCTAACGCAGCTCAATTCGGAACAACCAATAGAAAATCATGACATTGATATCCCAAGATAAAGCGAATTTAATCTCACGTATCACCGATTCGTTTTGCACGTTATAAATACCTGAAAACCTCACCGTATCCTAACCATCTCAATACTCACAACAACTAAAACCCTTTACTTGCAACACACTCTAACCACAATGGTCGCCTCCACAATGGCTCTCTCCTCTCCTGCTTTGGCCGGAAAGGCCGTGAAGAACGTATCTCCGGCGGCCTCGGAAGTCTTTGGAACCGCTCGAGTCACCATGCGCAAAACCACCAAACCATCCGGCCCATCCGGTAGCCCATGGTATGGATCTTTCTGTCAAGTACTTGGGTCCGTTCTCCGGAGAGCCTCCGAGCTATCTCACCGGAGAGTTCCCTGGTGATGATGGATGGGATACCGCGGGTCTATCCGCCGACCCCGAGACCTTCGCTAGGAACCGTGAGCTAGAAGTAATCCATTGTAGATGGGCCATGCTTGGAGCCCTAGGTTGTGTCTTCCCTGAGCTTTTAGCTCGGAATGGAGTGAAGTTCGGAGAGGCGGTTTGGTTCAAGGCTGGTTCACAAATCTTCAGTGAGGGAGGATTGGACTACTTGGGTAACTCGAGCTTAGTCCACGCTCAGAGCATCTTAGCCATTTGGGCTACTCAAGTGATCCTCATGGGAGCTGTTGAGGGTTACAGAGTCGCTGGAAATGGACCATTGGGAGAAGCAGATGACTTGCTTTACCCTGGTGGAAGTTTCGACCCATTGGGTCTCGCTACTGATCCAGAGGCGTTCGCGGAATTGAAGGTGAAAGAGACCAAGAACGGAAGGTTGGCTATGTTCTCTATTTTTGGATTCTTCGTTCAGGCCATTGTCACTGGAAAGGGACCATTGGAGAATCTCGCTGACCATTTGGCCGATCCCGTCAACAACAACGCATGGGCCTTTGCTACCAACTTCGTCCCCGGAAAGTGAGTTTAGTGATTGAATTGTGTGTAATTGGATTTGTTGAATCTTGGAAATGTGATGTAAAAACTTCAAATGTATGAAACTCTATGATATTTTGATTAATGGATAAGATTCTTCTGTTGTAAGAAAAACCAATCATATACCAACGTGCAAGAACAATTTCCATTCAAATCAAAGTTACATACCAAACACCAAATGCTTTATGAGAAAATTACAAACATTAAAAGTTCATTTCAACATATAAATGGAACATTCACGTAACTATCGCTACAATACAACCCCGGTCGTTGAGAATATCCTTGTTTCTCAAGAAGCTTCCTGGACTTCAAAACCAATTCTTTGTAATTGATCTTACCTTTTGTCTCACCAAGTATGATCTGTATGGAATTGGTGAATGCTCCATATGCTTGTCCTTTGGATCCTACGTCTGCAGAAGTTTGATCAGTTTGGCATCCACTAAGTAGAACACATTCGTTCTCAAGTCCACCATTACTTGCCCCTGCATAAACCTCCTTCTTGCTCATGACTTCTGTCTGCATCGCGGGTTTCAAATACTCTTCATCATTCAACTTCTCTGTAAGAAAATCCGTTGCTAGTTTCCCAATTTTTCCCAACATCAAACCTTCACTAATACTCTCTCTTGCATGTTTTTAAGAATCACCTTCATGAACTTCTTCACCTTTGGAGTTGCATCTTCACCAAACACATCGAAAATCGTCGTCCTGATATTCCCAACTTCGATATCATCTCTCCCTGTACCTCGTTTCAACATATTGATTGAAGTCTAAATGGTAGAAATCTGTTTCTAGCATTAACTCTGTTTCCACCATCTTCTTTTACTACAACCTTACTTCTTGTACTTTTGGAACTAACAAGTCCAAAAGGAAATTTAAATTCCTTCTTAGGCTTCTTTTTAAAACTCTCTCCGATCTGTTCCTTAGCTGAATCAATGAGACCACCACTATGACAAGAGTCAGAGACGAATGTAAAAGAACAATCTTTGGGAACCTTACTCACAATTTCTATAATCTCATCATCTGAAAACAAAACCAATTTCACACATGAACATTAAATAAAGGAACCTTAAAATGCGAAAGTCAAACACTTTTGAAGTTAACAAAAGATTGAAGTTATACCAGTGATGTAATTGTTATCAGAGGGAACAATACACTCATCAAACTCAGTATCATCGTCTTCTCCGGTCTCCGGTGGCAACCTCGTCCCGTGTCCACTGTAATGAACACAGAGAACATCACCGGATTTAGCTGATCCAACAAGACCCGACAAAGCTTGACGAATGTTCTTGCCGGTTGGTTGGATTTTAGACTTGTCGGTATCAATCAGCTCAGTGATGTTCTCCTCCGAGAAGCCGAACAATTCTACCAGTGATTTGTGCATCTGTTTGACGTCATCGATGCAGCCTAATAGCTCTCCTTCGGTTCCAGGATAATTGATCCCTATCAATATCGCTTTCTTCACCATTGATTCTGATGAATAAACTTAACACTTCTCTGTTTTTTTTTGTGTGAATTGTATTGTTTGATGGTGAAAGAGAATTCGTTCTTCATGCTTTTATAATCATGTTGATGATTAAACTAACGATGCTTTTAATTCTTTAGTGTTTTTATAGCATTATTGGGAGTTGGTATTGGACTAGTAAGTGTTTTTCAATCTATATTATAGTCTCGTGGATGATTGATTAATTGATTTCTTATTTGAATATTTGATAGCCGCGTTGTAATTAGGTGTTGTTAACAGAAAAACATGTGCGTCGATTAATTTATTTCAATGTTTTCGTCACGTGAACCAAATTGGTTAAAAACAATTTGTTGAGGCTGCTAAGCCAAGTATGTAGTTCATCCATCATTATTCGTTAATGAATTGAGTAGTTGTTGAGCCCAAAAAAACAAAATGAAACGATTAGTATTAATAAACTACAAGTTTTCTTCTGGTCTGAGTAAAGTTCATGCACAAAAAAGTATTAAGAAACTAAAGTGACTGTTAACTGTGGTAAAAAAATGAATCTCACACTAAAATAAACAGCTTCGCCGTTTAAGGAGATCGAACCCTTGACCACGGGATTAAAAGTCACGCGCTCTACCACTGAGCTAAGACGGCGTGTTGATTTTTCGTTTCGTTTTAAATTTAACAAACTAACCCTAAGTATGTCTCGTTTAAGGCCTAACAAGAGGCCTAGTCTCAGTTTGGCCCAATTAACAAACGACGACGTTTACTTAACCCGACGTATAAACACACGCCTGGGGTTTTTTCATTCCATCATTCTTCGCGTTTTCATCTTCCCCATTTGGTTTCTCTCCGAAAATCGCCGTAGAAACAAATACATTCAAAGCATAATCTCTAGTGTCGTCGTAGAAATCAAACGTTAGGTATAGAAATCACGGTGGTTTTGTAGAAATTAGGGCACGAAAAGATGCCCTTGTTTATGCCGGACGAAGAGCTTGCTCGGCTATCTAGCGACACCGCGTCGGTGGTTGCCGAGAAGGCCGATGAGTATATACGGAAGTTATACGCCGAGTTGGATAGTGTTCGTGCTAAGGCTGATGCTGCTTCCATCACGGCGGAGCAGACATGTGCGCTTCTCGAGCAGAAGTACCTCTCGCTCTCTCAGGATTTCTCTTCGCTCGAATCTCAGAACTCAAAGCTTCAGTCAGATTTAGACGATCGTTTAGCTGAACTCGCTCAGTCTCAGGCTCAGAAGCACCAGCTTCACTTGCAATCGGTACGTCCTTTGTTCAATTTTGGTGACGCTTTTGAGTGTGTTTTTGGGAATCCCTAATAGTTGACGGGAACTTTTGGTTTTGTTGCAGATTGAGAAGGATGGTGAGGTGGAGAGGCTGACTGTGGAGATGTCGGAGTTGCATAAGTCTAAGAGGCAACTGATGGAGTTGTTAGAGCAGAAAGATGCCGAGATTAGCGAGAAGAATTCCACTATCAAGAGCTACTTGGATAAAATTGTGAGAGGATTCTCTATTTTTATTTTGTTGCTGATTAAGCTCGTTATGTGTTTTTCAACCGTGTAAAACCCTAATTCTTGTTGTATTTCTCAGGTTAAGCTGACTAATGCTAGTTCGGAAAAGGAGTCCCGACTTGCTGAAGCCGGTGCTGAATTGGCACGTTCCCAAGCAATGTGCAGCCGTTTATCTCAGGTCTGATTATTGATTGGATTATAAGATATTCATTTAAGCTCTTTATGTATGATTTTTGTCTATTTTAGCGCTAAGAATTCTTGTCCATGTTGTGCTTATTATCCTCGTATTATTACAGTTAACTGAGGTGTGATTCACTTTAGTTATTTATATCGGGTGTCTCTAGATGCATTAATGTCTATAACTTTATGTAGTAATAGATGTTAATTCCTTTACAACAATGTGTATGAATATGGTTTCTGATGGAATTAGGAGAAAGAACTCATGGAGAGACACACCAAATGGCTTGATGAGGAGTTAACATCCAAAGTTGACAGCTACACGGAACTCCGTAGAAGGCATTCTGATCTCGAGGCTGAAATGTCTGCGAAGCTTGTGGATGTAAGACTAGTTTCTTAGCTTATTCTAATGCTACTTTCTGTTTTATTTTCCAAAATGCATTTCAGTTACTTTAGTGTCATTGCTTCCTCTATCAGGTTGAGAAAAATTATAATGAGTGCTCTAGCTCGTTAAATTGGCATAAGGAAAGATTGAGAGAGCTCGAAACAAAGATTACTTCATTACAAGAGGTAAGCATGGTATAAAACACTTATCCTGTATATCTTGTCTTTTTGTGCACTATGATATTTACTTGTTTCTCTTCGTATTCAAAGGAACTCAACTCGTGCAAAGATGCAGCAGCGACCACTGAAGAGCAATACAATGCTGAACTTTTCACCGTGAGTTTTTATAATACTTATGTTTTCAAACCTTGATACTGTTTTCATCTTTCTTAGGTGACTAGAGAGCTAAGTATGTTATAGATCTTGTTGAGGCGTTTCATTTATTTCAGAAACTAGATCTCCCTAATTGTTGTTTAGTTCAATCTAATCCATACTTTGGCTGTTGTCATAGGCAAACAAGCTTGTTGAGCTTTACAAGGAAAGTTCGGAGGAATGGTCTAAAAAGGCTGGCGAACTTGAGGGTGTCATTAAGGCCTTGGAGGTAAGTTGCTGTCACAAATCAAAGGAAATTGATTATATTTTTGTGTCTGTATGTTTCCCTGTTGAGTTCAAATTATGACTAAGCAGGCACGCTTGAACCAAGTCGAGAGTAGTTACAAAGATAGACTTGAGAAAGAAGTGTCGACAAAACAGCAATTAGAGAAGGTAATGAAACCCTTTGACTTCTATTACTTTATCAACTGTGTATAACAACGTCTGTGGCTTAGCTCTGGTAAGTGGTAACTATATCGGTGGCATTCAACTTATTTTGAGGGTGTGTAGGCCAAATTGCTACCATGGTATTGTTGCACTCAACCTTATAATCAGATACGATACCTTAATATACTTTGATTGTTTCCTAAAATAATTTAGTTCACCTGTCTTAGATGTTAAGTGGATTATAATTTTCTATTCTCTCATAAATTCAGAATACGTTTTGAGAAGTTGTCTATTTTTTTTAGTGGGAAGTGGTTTCGGTGGATGGTATACCTTTTGGATCTACATGGTCTATTCATTTGGGCATTTTATAATTTGTTTGCTAGTGAGATAGTTAATTTTTTATCTGCAACTTCAGGAGAATGAAGACCTTAGACAAAAACTTGAGAAGTGTGAAGCAGAAATTGAGAAAACCAGGAAAACAGATGAGCTAATGCTTATACCTTTCAGCAGTTTCACAAGGTATGTCTCATCTTTATGATAACAAAAAAAATTGTCCGTTTTCGCAAATTATTGTAAAACCACGCGAGGACATGGTATATATGCATTTATTTTCTACATATGCTTATCAAACCAAGCCAAAAACAAGTAAATGTAGGGATTAGTGATATTTGTTGCTTCAAGAGATCCACTTCCCATACCGATTCCGTAGCTCCCAACTGTGATTTTGTAACAGTGTTTGTTCTGTGGAAGTAGATTTTAGTGGTATTTAAATATGGTATTTGATTATCGTACTGTCCACGGAACTGTTATATTCTCACATGTTTCTTTTGAAATTCCTTTGTTCCAGACAGGTTGATGGTTCTGGGACCAGCAACATGATAGAGCAAAGCCAGGATATAATTTCTAAGGTTCCTGCTGGTGTGTCAGGAACGGCACTGGCAGCTTCACTCTTACGTGATGGATGGAGTGTGAGTTTCAGTCTTAGTATATTAGTCCAGTTTATCAGCGTCTCAACTCTGTAGTGTATATATCGCTTTTTCTTATCTTGTAGCTGGCCAAAATTTATGAGAAGTATCAAGAGGCTGTTGATGCCTTGAGGCATGAGCAATTAGGTCGAAAGGAAGCTGAGATGATACTACAACGGGTATGATCTATTTTACCTTAGTTGAAATGTTAATCTTAGTAGTTTAAATGTTATTCTTAGCTACCTTTGTTTTGTCTATTTTTTCTCCATGTTTCACTAGTACTTTTCCCAACTTTAGTTCATTAATGACTTAAGAATTCCTTTTCCTGTTAACTTACATAAAACTTGTGGACTTGATTGGTCAATGCCTGATTAAACGTTATTGATTTTCTGCTTCTCGTTAATGCTGTGTGTCTGGATTTGATCTTTTTTTTTTGGGTCAACTTCTGGATTTGATCTTTAAGACTAGAATTTTGGCCTTGAATTTTACTTTTTAGGTGTTATCCGAATTAGAAGAGAAAGCGGGAGTCATCCAAGAGGAAAGAGGTATGATCCAATTCTGTGCAGAAAAAATATTTTTTTATCTAGTTGGAGACATCATCCTTAAATCTATACTTGGTGCAATCTGTTTTCATTCCCAGGCGAGTATGAGCGGATGGTTGAAGCTTATTCTCTAGTCAATCAAAGACTTCAGGATTCTGTATCTGAACAATCAAATATGGAGAAGTTCATCATGGAGCTAAAGGTACTTCATATTATTATATTGTTAGTTAAAGATGCATATTTCTGATGTTCTTATACATTTATTTGATTAATAGGCTGACTTAAGGAGACGGGAACGTGAAAACATTCTATCTCAGAAAGATATATCTGACCTACAGAAGCAGGTAATCTGACAATCTATTCTCTTCTGTTCACCATGATATGATTATATCCGCATGTTTGTTGTGGTCTTCAGTTGCAGTGTTAATAGTTTAGCCTTTAGCTCACAGTTATATGCCTAGTTACTTGCTTTATCAATTGATACTTTGTGTGTATACACGATTTAGGTTACAATACTATTGAAGGAATGTCGTGACGTCCAACTTCGTTGTGGAGCTGCCAAGGATGATGATGAAGAAGATGATCTTCTGCTTTCTGATGTTGAGATGGATATGGAATTTGAAACTGATAAAATCATTTCAGAGCGTCTTGTAAGTTTGATTCATTTTCTTGACATCGTGTTTTGTGTTAGATTTTACTTGTAAAATAAAATGTGGATGACTAATGCTTGTCTTCTTGTTGGGATGAATTTCAGTTAAAGTTCAAAGATATAAACGGACTAGTTGAGCAGAATGTAAAGCTCAGGAACCTTGTTCGTAGTCTCTCAGAGCAGATTGAAAGTAGGGAAATGGAGCTGAAGGTATGAAGGATTTTTCCTGCATTGTTTTTGCTTTGGTAGAGTGTAAATTTTTAAAAGAGTATTTGGAATCTCAGGAAAAGTTTGAGATAGACCTGAAGAAAAAGACCGATGAAGCTTCTTCCAAGGTAGCTATCGTGCTAAAAAGAGCTGAAGAGCAGGGACAAATGATTGAATCACTGCACACATCTGTAAGTCTTCCCACCATCCAAATCTCTTCTCCATTGCAACACTTGCTTCAGTGATGTTGGATTTCTTTTCGTGATGTATCCTGTACATCTTTCTTTTCAGGTTGCAATGTATAAACGTTTATATGAAGAGGAGCAGAAACTTCATTCATCTTATTCTCTCTCGTCAGATTTGCCTCCAGGTTCTAGCTCTATGCATCATTATGAGTTTACCCTCTTTGACTTCATCGGCTAATTTAATTGAATGAGGTTTCAGTTTTATTTCGAATTATTATCCTTGCCAAACTTTTTATTCATATTGTCATCAAGGTTGAGTGGGGATGCAAGAAATAGTGACTATAGTAGATGCAAATCTCAAGTTTAAGGAGAAAAAGTTCACTTACGTTTTTTCTTTTTAAATAAAAATTTATGTTGGGAAGCATCTAGATTTTTGAATAACCACCAAATTTGATCTTATTTTCAGAGATTTCATTTGTTAGTAATTAAAATTATGCTGTACGCGCAAATTTCATGTGAACTCTGGCTATTCAAGCATAATTTCAAAGCATGCAAACATTGCTCATTAATTGGAATACATAGTTTGTGGTACACTAGCTTTAAATTGGCTTGACAGAGATGTATTCTTGTAGCTGTAGTGCCTGGAAGGAAGAACTTTTTACATCTGCTCGAGGACTCACAGGTATGACTGATAGCTAAATATTTCCTTCCTCTTCTTTCATTTCCTCCCTTTTGGCGAATCAAGTAGTATTTTGGGACTCACCTTTTGTTTGGATTGCCTGCTTCAGGAAGCTACGAAAAGAGCCCAAGAGAAAGCTTTTGAACGCGTCCGAAGTCTCGAAGAAGATTTAGAGAAGGCCAGGTATGTTTTATCGTCCTCTTGGCTAATATGTTTCACTTACTGGACAAGTTATTAATTTTTTTGTGGAAGAAAGTTTGTACGGTCGACAAGGGTATTGCTGAATATGTAACATATTTTCTGGGTGGATTGTCAAGTTGAAACTTTCCTTTACCTAGACTATTCTAGCTAAGGAAATAAAGTGTGGGGTGTGTAGTGTCTCTAAAGTTTAGTAAGAAACATGTCTGCACATACAGGTGGATTGCTGTAGATACTCATTTGAGCTTGTGTTTGCATTACCAGTGTAGTTGTCTTATATAAGTTACATGAAGTGTAATCCTACATCTTCATACATTTTAAGGAAACTACGTGAAAGAAGTCTGGATGATGTGCACATATATATTATGTATAACTACGAAACTCAAACTGTAGCTAATGATTTCTGGCATTTTTTCCAGTAGATTTTGTGCTCTCTTTTTGCTTGTTATAGTTGTTAGCTGAATCAAACTCTTATGAACTGGGTTATTTTCATATTTGTCCTTCGGATTTTAGGAGTGAGATAATTGCTATGAGGTCTGAACGGGATAAGTTGGCCATGGAGGCAAATTTTGCAAGGGAAAAACTAGAGAGCATCATGAAAGAATCTGAACGCAAGGTAATCTTTGTCACGAATTCATATCATCAACAGCTTGTGTGGATTGTGCTTTCTTCACATTTTTTCATCTTATCTGTCTTCATATCAGAGAGAAGAAATGAACGGTGTTTTGGCAAGAAACATAGAGTTCTCACAGCTGATAATTGACCACCAAAGGAAGTTACGTGAGAGTTCCGAGTCTCTGCATGCAGCTGAAGAGCTTTCTAGAAAATTGTCGATGGAGGTAGTATATCAATAACACTCGTCAAGTTTATGATACATGTGCTTCAATACTAATAGTCATCTGTGCTATAGGTCTCGGTTCTAAGACAAGAAAAAGAGGTGTTATCAAATGCTGAAAAAAGAGCTTCTGATGAAGTTTCTGCACTATCTCAGAGAGTTTATCGTCTTCAGGTTTTGAAAACATGAGACTTGCACAAGTTATATCTTAAGGTTTTTATACTATTTTATTTTGGCTAACTTGATGTTCTGCAGGCTACCTTGGATACTATACAGAGTACTGAGGAAGTTCGTGAGGTAAGGAGCTACCTTTTAACTTCTAATTTACAAACTCTATACTGAAAGGTAGCACCGATTAAAAATAGATATAACTTTACATAAAAAACTCAGGAAGCAAGAGCTGCCGAGAGAAGGAAGCAAGAGGAGCATATCAAGCAACTTGAGGTCTGTAGCATATTTAATAATTTTTTTGGCACATTCTTTAACTTCCTTCAAGTATTATGTATAACAGTAAAGCTTAACTGAGTTTTTTGGACGCGATTTTCACAGAGAGAATGGGCTGAAGCGAAAAAAGAGTTGCAAGAAGAAAGGAGCAATGCGAGAAATATTACTTCGGACCGCAACCAAACTTTGAACAATGCTGTAATGCAGGTAGAAGAAATGGGGAAAGAATTGGCTAATGCTTTGAAGGCTGTCTCGGCAGCAGAGTCCAGGGCTTCTGTGGCTGAGGTATTGTTTCAAGTCTATTTTACCTTTCTAATACTTTAGACTCCTGAACATATGAACAAATCTCCCACTGTATCGAGGTGGTGCACATTCAATAGTTTTTTTGTTATGGCCAGCTCCTAGGTTGCATACTCTAGCTTTCTCTGTCTCACGTTTCCTAGATTGCTGCCTCTTTTTTTTTCTTCTTCTAGTTTTGGTGGCTGCTTTTGTGAAGTGAGTTTTTGCATGTGGTTGGTTGTCAATCCACTAGATTTTTCAGCTGTCTACCGTCCATACTATAATTGATTATTTCAATAAATGTGTAAAATTAGGCAAGACTTTCTGATTTGGAGAAGAGGATAAGATCTTCAGATCCTAAGGTAAATGTTATGATTTTTCTAATCATTGAGTTGTGTGGTTTACTTGAAATGGCAAATTCCTGGATGGATTTTCAATTACTAATCTGTACTTGTATTATATTTCGTTTTCACTCTTTTAGGCTCTTGATATGAACAATGGTGGAGTTGTCTCTCTTTCGGATAATGAGGTCAGTGAAGTCCTTTAACAATTTTTTTTTTGTTTTTTGCAAATTTTAATTCTGAGTTGGGATTTAGATTCCGTAATTACGGTATTGTTCAAATTTCGTTGTTGCAATGTATATTTGTGATGACTGCCCCATGTTATTGTTTTTTCCTCGATAAGGGGAAACTTTTCTAGAAGCTGTACACATATTACAAGCTGGATTAGGACATGCAGTATGCATTGCCCAAGCTAGTTGATTTTTGTCATGTAGATTTGAGATTTTCGCTTAAGAAATTGTTGGAGTTTACATTTTACTTCTTGATAGCACCCCAATGTTTCGTTTTGTATGGTGGTCTGTTAATCATTTTTTTTTTACTGTGGTGGTTATTTACTCTAGATGTCCGTGGAATTGCGCACTGCAAAAGAAGAAATCGAAAAGTTAAGGGGAGAAGTAGAATCTAGCAAAAGTCACATGCTTCAGGTACTTCCTGAATATGCTGTTTGTTTTTATTTCATCGTGACTAGGAACTGACCTTGTGAATAATCTTCCAGTACAAGAGTATAGCTCAGGTGAATGAAACTGCATTAAAGCAGATGGAATCTGCTCATGAGAACTTCAGACTTGAGGTAATGGTGATTATTATGTTGGGTGAAACAATTATCACATCTTGCTATGTAGCTATGTCTACTGTGATAGAACTAGGTTATAGGTTTTCATTTTGACCTTGATGGCTGTTTTATAGGCTGAGAAGAGACAAAAATCGTTAGAAGCAGAACTTGTTTCTCTTAGGGAGAGGGTGTCAGAACTTGAAAACGACTGTATACAGAAATCTGAGAAAATAGCCACTGCTGCTGCAGAAAAAGAAGATGCTCTTGTGTCAGCATCAGCTGAAATTGCAAGACTGAGAGAAGAAAGCTTAGTCAAAAAGTAAGTGTCCTATTAACATATGTATCCTTTTACATTTT